TTTTTATAAATTGTAACAGTATAACTTTTAAAATTCTAGCCCGATCTTGTGAACCAAGCGATTATCTTATTTAGGGCCGATCTTTTAATAATATTTCCTTTTTTCATATATTTAAATAGAGAGGAATGGTTTTTTTTAAACTCTTCAATTTTTAAATAAATTTTTAAATTTAGAATTTCCAAAAAAAACCAAAACGCTTTCAGAGACCCAACTTTTAAATAGATATTAAATATATTTCAATTGTCATACTGATGAGTTGGACTGTCAATCCGTCATATATACTTAGATCTTGAAATCACGCAATTCGAAATTAAATTTAACCAAATTTAAAAGTCAGTTTTTTTTTAATAAACTTTTTTTTACCCCCTATTTTATTCTGCTTAACTGTAAAGATATATACTTTTAAAACAGACTTCACCGAGTGAAACCCGGCGATGTCAGCAGAGACTAAAAATATACACAATTTTATATTTTTTTTTGAAAATTTGTGATATTTTATATAATTGGGCGATTAGGTTTATAATTAACCTAAGAAGAGATAGAAACGACAGCGGCCTCCAAAACTAAATTAAATTTTTATTAATTGTCATTGTATCCTTTAGAACAAGGCTTGACTATATCTTAAACAATTCAAAAATAAAAATGCCAACCTACATCTAGTCGATGAACTGCACACCATAAAATATGGTGCTTGGCTGCGGATTTCCTATTTTCTTTCGTTATTAATTTTTATTTTACCATACCACAAATCATTACTTGTGCCACAAGAAGTTACTCACCTTTACGTTACCGTTCTTGTTTGGTTAAAATTACTTTAAGGTTTTCCCGTCAATTTGAAGGTTTTTAATAGAAGGTAAACTTTTATTTTTAGGCTGTATGTATTAGTTACTCATACTTATACAACCTTAGCATACTATGTCTGTTATTTTTACATTCATCACTGCCATTCCGAGACCTATTACTTAACGATAAAATCTTCACGATTCCCCGATATAATTGAAAAATATCTCTTCGACTAGCCATGTAAGATCAAGTTCTGTACCTGCATGATGTTAGTTAAAATTACGTACTTAGATACGTTTCGCGGAAAACCAGCTATCCCTAGTCAGTTTTATCTTTCACCAAGCTTACCACAATTCATCGGATATTTATGCAACAATAACCCGTTCGAGCTTTTGTGACTCTGATCATGGTAAGATCACTAGGTTTCGGGTCTAATTTTAGATACTTATCACTATTGTATTGACCGATTTATCTAGGCAGTTATTGCTCGCATCTAATATTAACTTGCTGACCCATTATGCAAAAGGTACGCTTTTAATGTTATTTAAATTTTCTTCTCAAGCTGCTTATAAAACTACTAATTTTTCAATTCCCTCACGGTACTCTACGCTATCGCTCAATATATCATATTTAGCCTTAGAGGAAGGTTCCCCTTTACTTATTCAAACAAGTCTTAACCCATTCTACTTGTTAATTTTTTTTTTGTACCATACTATGGTTTTAGTTTACATAGGTTTTTATATTTATAAAACTTTTATTTACTTAATATTATATATTAACTTTAAAAATTTTCCTAAAAATTTTTAATAATATTTAATGTTTTTATATTACCCGATTGTACCTAAACCCTCCCATACGTATTGGAAGGCTTCTCTATTTTCATTCTCACTAATCATAGAATCTCTTTTGATTTCTTTTCCTAAAGTTATTAAGATATTTCAATTTACTTCGTTTATTACTGAATTTCTCTTAGAGTTCATGTTTTTAAACCAGTTTTATACTGTTTATACAAATTAAAATTTCTCTCTTTGATATATTGCAATGATTCCCTAATAGTTTCTTTCTATATTTTTCTATATTTAGAAAAATGAAGTAAAACAATATATTCTATATCGTTAAGACACTTTTAATTCTAATTCATTTAAAAAATTTTTTTTATTTAATATTATATTCGGATTATTATGGCTCGAACATAAGAATTCCTCAACCCAAATGAGGCGCCTTTCCAACCTGGCTCTAATCCGTTTATTAATTTTAACAGAGAATATCCGATTTGAACGGATGTGACTAAATATAGCCAAATAAGACTCAAGCTTATCACCATAAACCGGGCTCGGTCAATTCTCTTATTAAATTTTCTTTATCCATTTTAGGACTTTGTGTTATTGAAGGCTAAGATGTAATTTCATTTTAATAAAAATAAACTTTAAATTATTTGATAAAATTTTATAAATGGTAGGATAGCGACCAAGTCTTATCGTGTATATCAAATTCGAGATACACTCCACTTTAGCGGTACCAAAAGCAATTATTTTCGCTATTCTTAATACCAAAACGCTTCTTAAAACCGTATGTGATTTTCAACGCATACAGTATTCCTTTACCCTATGACCAATTACGCGCTTTGCCGGTCTTTATCCAAGGACCAAACCTTAAATTAATTTTACTATTATAAAAACCAACATTTTTATGTATCGGTGTTTAATGTTTGGTTATCGTTAATTCACTTTTTCGTTGCATACCGTTTATTATTGAATATCCCTTACTAGCACTTACGAGCTTTGGACAATACCATATTTTATTGAGTTTTTTGGCCTTTTAAGTTTTTCTATTTAATGTATACGGCCTATTTTTAGGACTATGATTAATATAAATGGTTAACCATATAAATAGGTATTAACTTATAATATTACTAATTGATCGTCCGATCGGATTTAAATGACTCTACTAATAAATTAATTAAATTTTATTGACCACTAACTTACATTTGATTTTGCTACCATACCGACTTTAGTCGGAGTTACCAACATGCTACATTATATTTTACTTTCGGATAAACTCATAGTTCATTTCTAAAGGGTCGGTCATTATAGAAAAGTCCTCACTTACAAGGTACAAACTTTTTCTTGATTGGTCTAAAATATTTAAAACAGCACTTTATAACTTTATATTAAATTTTTAATTTCGTTATTTTAAAATTACTATTTATTAAATTTTTAAATTTAATTTTTATTTAAACAATACAAAATTTTTAATATTATTATTATATAAATAAATATAAATTTTATATAATAAAATTTTATATAAAAATTTTTTTAATAACCGTTAAAAAGCAAAATTTATATCAACCTTAAATTATTATAAATTTATTATTTATTCAATTTACGTAAAAAGTTAAATATTTATTTTAATTATAATTAAAAATATCATTAAATGATTCTTTCAAGATTCGAACTTGAATAGTATTCTTATCAAAAATATACTTTACCATTAAGTTAAAGAACCTATAATAATTTTTTTTATTAAAGGAAATTTAAAATATAACTTTACTTTTCATCTAATCAAAAATAAAAAATTTTTTATGTAATAATTTTAAATAAATAAAAAAAAAATTATTTATCTTTTAAACAAAGAAGTTAACTATTAAGTAGAGTTGCCAACCATCTTTTTTCATAGATGATTTTTATTTAAGAAGGCACCTTTCAACGTATACAGCCCTCCACTAAATTAGTTCATTTCAAGATTATGCTTATCCCCCCTCACCACCAATTAAAAAAATCCTGGTTACAATTTTATTTCCAAATTCATTATAATGAGATTTACTCCAAAGCAAGATTACCACACGGGCATATCTTTGATAGTTTAATTATATCATTTTAAAGGTTCTATTAGTTTCAAAGTTATTGATATTGTCTATAATCTTCAGATATTTAATAATCTTACATTTAATTTGACGTCTTTTGCTTATATTAACTATTTATTTTTTGTAGAGTATACGACCTGTTTATAATTTTAGATTGATTCAATGCATGATAAAGACTATGGGCTTTAAATCTTATATTGAATTGCCACTATATGTGTCTTAAATTATTAACTTATTAACAGTATGATGTTTTCCTTTTTAATTTAGTTTCGCTCAATATTGTTTCAGCAATTCAAAGAGTTTCAATAAGTTTTAGACATGTTATTTCCATAATTTAAGTCAATTAGTTTATCGTCCCGCTTCCGTAAGACGGATTAATTAAAAGTAGTTTATGAAAATTTTTACTTGTCCCTTTTGACATACATAGAATATTCAAAGTGACGCATAATTAAAATATAAAAATTCTAATTTTTAGTTTTATAATTTATTTAAAAATAACAAAAATTTGGACATTTTTAATTTATATTAATTTTCTGCGGATTGCTATGGAACGTCTTTGTGAGTTAAGGTTAAAATTTTGATCTTATATCTTCCAACAAAAATACAAGAGCACTCAGGTTTGAACTGAGAAACAAAAGGTTGAAGCTTTTTATTTTCCCTATTAAATTATACTCTTAAAATTTAATCTATTTACAGAAAAGAGATGATTCGAACATCCATGTGTTTCCACAATATTTAGCAAATATTTTACCCTACCTATGGCTACTTTTCTTTTAGCTTTTTAAAAATATAACTAATATTGCTTATAAAAGGTAATATTTAATTTTTAAGTTTATTTTAAAATTAATTTAGATTCATATTTAAATTTTATAAAATTTAGATACCTTTATTAGAAATTTTAGATTATATAAATTTTAAACTATTTAATTCTATAATATAAACATTTATAAAATTATTAATTTTTTACAAAATATAAAAATACAGCTTTAATTATTTTAAATATAGAAATTTAAAAATTTATAATTAAAAATATTTTTATTATACTTTATAAAATAAATATTAAGCAAATTATAAAGTACAATATTTCGAGTCAGACCGGATACGATCCGGCATCTCCATCCTCGACAAGGATAGCCTTTACCTATTAAGTTACTGACCCCCCCCTCCTCTAACGTTCCGCGCGATACTAAAATAAATTATGTAAAATAAATATTTATAATAAAAATTAATTACTTAAAATTAATTTTTATTAGCCTTTGAAATTATTTAAAAATTTTTAAGGTTTATATAGTACATTTTTAGTTAAGAGTAATTTAAATTGATTAACTTAAGTTACTTATATATTAAACTTTAATGTGGCCAGCTGAAGTCGAATCAGCACAACCCAGGTGGAAGCTGAGCAGTCTACCATTAACCTATAGCCACTTTGGAGCTTAAACTAAGCTATGTAATAATATATTATAGAGTTCTAGAGGATTTGAACCTCTAACCGAATGATTAAAAGTCATATGCTCTACCTAATTGAGCTAAGAACTCCCTTTTACTACCTCCCACTTATTTAAGATACTATTATTTATCCTTTAAATTATTTTTAAATTATATTTTAAAGGTTATTTTAAAGTTGAATTAAATATGGAAAAAGTAATAATAATTCGTCTAAATAATTTTTAATATTAATTTTTATAGAACCTACTTATAATCTATATTTTTATAGATTATAAATTTTTATTATATATTATTAAAAGTTGTATTTAATTTTCGTAACAAGCCTTTATTAATTATGAATTAATATTATAAATTATGAAAATTAATTATTTTTTATAATTTTTCAATAAATTTTACTTACCCCTGCTCGCTAAAAAATTTTTAATAAAAATATACACTTTATTCCGTTGTATAAACCAATTAAATAATATAAACTTTTATTATTATTTTTTATATTTATTTCATATTAATTTACATAAATTTTATTTTATAATGTTAACAAAAAATAAAAATTTATAATTTATAATATCATATTATAACTGGGTTTAAATACATAATTAAATAAATCTAAAAATTATTTTTACAATACGGTTCCCTCCAAGGAACCTTTATTATTATTCAATATTCCCTTCCGTTTTGTATCTAAGACTAACCTGTTCAACTAAAAATTTTTACCTTCTTATTTTGACAAACTTTAAATAATTTTTATTTTTACAACAAAAAATAAAAAATAAAAATTATTAAAGAAATTATTTAATTTTTATAAATGAACATCAAACTTGAATTTTAATTATTTTATTAACAAATTTAAAGTTAATTTACCTAAGCCTAATTTAGACAAATAATTAAATTATACTTTATCTTATTTACCTAATAGATACACAACCGTAAATATATGCCTAAGACTCTTTAGAATTTTCTAAACTCGTCGCTGTTGTTATTTCAACATTATTATCTTTATCACGCTTTTCAATATTATTGTTTTCATTACATATTTTTTTTTCAACTGTTTTCTCTTTTTCTTTTTGTAATTTAATAGTTTTTCTTTCAAGTAAATTTTCCAACTTTTTCAAAAGTTGGAAGAGAGGAATATACAATTCAAAGTTATAAGTTGATTCGGTTATAGATGTAAAACACAAATTTCGATTATCTACGATGAGTACAGTTCTTTGGCGTGTTTTAAAATGCAGAGACAGAACCGGCTTTTTAACATATTAATTATGATTAGCAAGGATATTTCTGGAGGCATTCACAACCTTACTTTAATTTGTAACTAAAACATCTATATGAATAATAAAACTAAGAGCATTATTATTCAAAAATATAAAATATATGGCTCTTATTATAAATAACAAAAAATTTTATAAAAATGATTAAAAATTTTTCTATCTTATTTGATAAAATTAATAATGGAGATATTATTAATAATATTTCTAATTTGAAACTCCAGCAACAGCAGAAGCAGCAGCAGAACATTTTTGAAGAAAATAATTCTAATTCAAATTTAATTAATAAAATTAATTTGGAAAAATATGAAAATGATGAATATATTAAATCTGTTCTTTACACAGCAGAGCAATTATTAAAAAATTTTAATATGGATAATCCATATGAAAAAATAGATAAAATTAAACATTTGCAAATATATAAACCTGATCATAGAATTTCTTTAGAAAGTCATATTCCATTTTCAAAATTTGATTATGAGGAATTTAGATATTTAGCTATTAGTAATTGTATTAATGATTATAAAAAAGGTATTATAACTAGATCAGAATATTTAAAGAAGATGGATTTTATAGATAAAAGAATGAAAGAAAGAGATGAACAATATTTAAAGGAGACATTAGATTATATAGAATTGTTTAAACAAGAAGATTGAAAATTAAGTGACAAAAAAAAAATTTTCTTCTATTAATGTAAGATCTATATATTTTGACGTTGACGTTAAAACTTCTCAGATTAATAATATTATGAATAATAATTATTCATCTTTTACTATTATTAATTTTAGTAATGTTTTATCTAAATATTTAAAAGTTAACACATATAGTGTATTAGCTAAAGTTGAAGTATTTGTTCAAGATGATGAACTTAGTTATAAAAAAGATTTTGTTATGCTTGGTAATCAATTAGGATTAGTAATCAGAGATGATAATAATAGTAACATTAATGAATTAAATATACTATATAATACACTTATTCAAAGGCTTAAAAGTAAAGAGTATGAGATATATAATGCAGTTAAAATTACAAAAATAGAAATTATGTATGTTGTTAATAATTCTTATCAAGAGTTTAAAAGAGAACCTATCATAAAAAATATAAATAAATTAGAATTAGATAAAAACTTAGTAAATATTAATAAAACTAAACAAGTATATAATGAAAAGATTTTACCCTTAACTACAAATTTAAATAAATATGGTATTAAATTAAATATTATTGAAAATAATGGAATAATTGAAAAAGTTAATATTGATAATAATAATAAAATTAATAATTTTATAGAATTAATTAAAACAAGAAATGAAAATTATCCAAAATTTTTAAGTAGTAATACTGATTTTTATTTATATAAGCATGATCAAGATAAATTCATTATATTAATAGAAAAAATTAATGAATTTACTTATTCTAAAATAGTATACAACATTGATGGTAATATTATTGAATCTTACATTGATAAAATTTTAGGTGAAAATAAATTTGTTAGGGAAACTAAATATTTGTCAATATATTTTGATAATGGAATAATAGAAAAACAAGAAAAAAAAAAATTATATTTCCATATATAAAAAAAAAATTTAGTTCATATAGAACACAAAGTAATCCTAATATCGGAACTTTTGATATTGAAACTTTTGTTGATGATGATGGTATTTCAAAGATTTATGAATTAGGTTTTACAACCTTAAATATGTACAAAGAAAAATCTATAGTTGAAACTTACTATTTAACTGATTATGAAAATATTGAAAATTTAGTGATAAATTGTATTAATAAAATGTTAAATTCTTCTGACTATAATAATCATATTTATTATATTCATAATTTAGGTGGATTTGATTCTATATTTCTTCTTAAAATATTAGTTAATGATAATGAAAATAATGATAATTATTATATACTTGATACTATATTTCGAGATGGAAAAATATTAAAATTAACAGTAAAAATAAAAGTAGAAACAACAACAGAAAGAAAAAAGAAAAGTTAGAAAAAAAAAGTAAATTAGAAAATAAAGAAAAAAATAAAAAATTTACTATAAAAAATTACTCTTGTTGATTCTTATGCTTTATTACCTGATAGTTTAGATAATTTATCAAAAAGTTTTGGTTCTAATGTAAAAAAAGGTTTATTTCCTTATGAATTCATAAATAGAAATACTTTAAATTATATAGGAAATACACCTTCCATAGAATTCTATAAAATTAAGAATAAAATTATAAATAAAGATAAATACTTAGAATTATTTAAAAATAATTGAGATCTGAAGCTAGAAACAATTAAATATTTAAAACAAGATCTTATTTCTTTACTTGAAGTAATTGAAACTTTCAATAATTATGTTTACAAAGTATATAATGTTCAATTAACTGAAAGTTTAACTATTTCTCGTTTAGCTTTAAATATATTTTTTAATAAATATATAAAAGAAAATAAAATTGGTTCGATTACTAACAAACAAGTATATAATCATTCTAAATCAGGTTATTTTGGAGGTATAACAGAAATTTATAGACCTTATGGTAAAAATTTGTGATATTATGATGTTAATTCTTTATATCCTTTTGTAGCTAAAAACCTTATGTCAGGTAATTTTTGTAAATGAGTTCAAAGTAAAAATAAACCTTTAGATATAGATAAATTATTTGGGTTTTTTAAAGCTAAATTTGAGACTAAAAATGATTATTTAGGTTTATTACCAGTTCATATTGAAAATGGATTAACTCTACCTAATGGTAATTGAGAAGGTTGATATTTTAGTGAGAGTTTAAAATTTGCAAAACAAAATGGTTATAAAATTGAAGTTTATTCTGGTTATGAATTTAATAAAATTGAGAATCTATTTTCAAAATATGTTGATGATTTATATAATATTAAATCAACAACATTTGGTTCAATAAAAACTATTACTAAACTTTTATTAAATAGTTTATTAGGTCGATTTGGAATGGATATAAATAAACCAGTTACAAAATTAGTTATGATGAATTAAAAAATATTCTTGCTACTAAACCTGCTACTACACCAAAAAAAATATCAGATAATTGTTGACTTATTACATATAAAGATATTATTTCAGAATCTATAACAACGCAACATAATTTAGATTACTTAGAAATATTGAATTCAAAATCTGTGAAAGACATTAATAAACATAATTCAGTTAATGATGTATCTATAGTTATTAGTGCTGCTGTAACTGATTATGCTAGAATTTTTATGAATAAAATAAAATTACTTTTATTAAAATTGGGTATAATAATTTATTATATGGATACTGATAGTCTTGTTATTAATAAACCATTACCTGATTATTTAATAGGTAAAGGTTTAGGTCAATTCAAGTTAGAATATAAAATTAAAGAAGGTTATTTTATTTCTTCTAAAACATATTGTTTGGTATTAGATGATGAGTATCTTACTAAAGAAAATAAAGGTTTAATCATAAAATCTAAAAGTGTTTTTGATCACAGTTTATCTCTAGAAGATTTTAAAATTTTATATAATGAATCTAATGTTAAAGCTATTAAAGGTAATACTAAGAGTAATTGAGAGATAGGTACTGTTCATATAGGAACTAAAGAAGTTACATTAAACTATGATGCATATTCAAAAAGAACAAAAATATATGATAATAACGGTAATTGAGTTAATACAATACCTTTATTTTTTTAAAGATGGTAAAATAATTGAAATTAATTGTGAACAAT